CTGCTGTAACCTTGAAGTTTCATTGGATTGATGGATGAAGAACGGAGACCCTTTAACTAAGGATTATACATCCTACTTGTCCCCTTGAGGTTCATGATGCCTGAACCTCCATCACTCTGTTGACATCATCTGCTTCATCTGTGTCCTTTAGAAATTAGACAATGTAGAATTATTGTCAGGCTAATTTCTCTTCAGTCTCTCTGTTTTTCCTCTCAATCCCTTCAATAAAGTTTTAAACACTATGTTACAAACAGCAACAGTGGATCAGCTCCTGTGGACATCATGCTCCTCTGACGAACAGTTAGAAAGTTTCTGAAGGACATTTCTTTCATTACTCAGCCCACTTTATAGCAGCATCATTTTTAGCTTCTCTTCTAGTCAAATATGAAATTTATCAAGCATACATTAAAATTATTGTTTCAGGAAATCAAACATTATTATTTGCTTTGCTAAGGATGAAAATTTGGCTTTAACCAATATTGTAACTTTAAATGTATGAATAAAATTGAAATAAAAGTCTCCAATTTCTGTTTCAAGCATGTTGAATCATTTTCATACACTGAATATAAACAAGCTTACCTTCTTCGCTTGTTTGTTGGATAATCTAAACCAGCTGAAAGAATAAAAATAACGTGAACAAACATGTAGCAGAGACCAGCTGGTCTGCAGCTCAGAATCAACTCAGAAAAATGAGTCTCACCACTGAAAGATGCAGACTGCACTGCAGAGAATTATGATCCCCAGGATCTTCAAAATAACACAGAGACTGACTCCTGGCACCAGATTAAAGAAATGTTTGATAGATTTAGGATTTTTATGCAAAGAATAAAAATGAAACATTGAGAGAACTACTGAGACTCACTTGAAATATTTTTTGGCTTAAAATATTTTACATTTGAATGATTCAACAACTGAACTTTTAACTTTTTTTTTAAATTTAACACAAAAGGCCCTTAGATCAGATACATTGAACTTTCTGGGCATATAAATGTGGATTCATTAAAAACCAAGAGTTGAAATATACCTTCAGTATTAAGTAGAATCACTGCAGACCTCTGAGTCCCTAGATCATTTGTAGCCTCACAGTAATACTCACCATGTTTGCTGTTCCTGAACCAGGTGAAGCTGGCAGGAGGCTTGGCTCTGCTGGAGCAGCTCAGCTCCACCCAGCTACCTGC